CTCCATTCACATCTTGAGCCATCTGACTGAAAGATGAGGGTGTTCAAATTCTACTTCAAATTGACTTTTTATTTCAGGCGGGTTTGGGGCACTAAAGCGCTGAGCATCACGCTTAAGTGAATTGTTTAAGGTTAGCTGCTATAAACCGTAATGCTGTGTGCTTGTTTAAATTGGAAATCACATCCAAAAGAAAAGAGAGATTTAATCATTTTTAATGCCTTTGTGGATGAATTTGTTCCCTTTTACATAATTTTTAGTTGATTTATAGGAGTGCTGATTGTAGGTTAAATGGGGAATAATTGCCCATTTTATTTCCACATTATCTTTATATTGTTCTAACAGACCATTTTGTCTCATAGCTGGTGAATTCTATAGCCAAGACGTATGTTGGAACAAATGCTTATATGGCAGTAAGTAAACTTATGCAAAAATAACATTTAAAGCCAACATCTTTATCTTTATGTACTTGGAAATGTATAATTCTTAAATTAATTCTACCACTGTAGACTAGTAAGTCATAAATTACAAAGTCAATCCAGTTGCTTTCCAGTTTGCAGCTCTTCTGAGAACATGCCAGGCTTTGTGCTTGACTATCAACTTATCTGACTTCGGTGACTCAACTGGTTGGTTCAAGTGTGAAATTGCTGAGTTTTGAAGTTTAATCCTACAGAAAAATTGCACTTGATAGCGTATTGACTGCTTTTCCACACCGCTTATTTAATTAACCCTAATAAACCCTAATATATGTCAAGGCATCAGTCAGTAACATCGGTTGTTTGTTCTGAGGATAGGAACATGCCTTGTCACCAGATCCAAGTTAAATTCCTGATGTGGCGGGTCTGAACCTGTGGATCTCCCAATGTTCTGCACTTAGTATCCTCTACAATGTATAGCTCTGTATTTTTCCTTAGTTGTTCAAGTCATGCAGATATCATAAGTTGTTCCATTTCTTTTTCTTACCATTTCAAACAAGAGAGCTTATTTGTGGCTATAAACATCTTGAGTTTGTTGGTTTTCTTAACCCCTGCAAGAGTTGGTGGGAGTGGAAGGAACCAAGGAAAAGGCTTTTCTGGTATCATTTTCAGAGTCTGTTTTTTTTTTTTTTGTTGTTGTTGTTGTTATTTTTTATTTTCACCCCTCTCCCTTTCCTTTCTTCCCCTCTAGAGTCTGCTTTTTATTTCAGTGTTTAGGATTGGTTTTTACTATGATGGTTCCAGATTTATGTAAGTAATCCCTCTCAGGCTAAGGAGATGTTGTTGGTATCACACACTTAGAAGATTTTAGTATGGGTATATCATGGATCTTTTAAAAAATGTTTTATATTTTTATTACTTATTGGGAGGTGCTGTGTAGATGTAGATATCCACCATGTGGGTCCTGAGGGTCCAGCACAGGGTGTCAGGCTCAGAGACTGGCGCTCTTATGGACAGAGCTGTCCTGCCAGAGTCGTGGACCTTATTTTCAGTATTGTTTTTGTCCCTGTGTTATCACCATTAAAAGATCTTTGATATAGGCAGAACCTGGGTCTTCACCTTGCTATTCTTCGAACAATACAAAGCATTTCATTTTCTTTCAAATGGTCCAAATAGTTTATTTTGGTTTCCATTGCCTTTAAGAAAATTCATATTTTTTTTCTCTAATTAAATGTGGAAAAAGTAGATCAGTTATTAAAGTTATTGTGTCTGCTTTTTAAACGTTAGTCTCCTCCATGGCTCTCCCAGGGTCAATGACATTGGTGAGTCACTCTTCTAGTTAATAAAACCCTACTGAATGTCAGTCAGCCTCTATGAATTATGAAAATACCCTGACTTGAAAAGGAAAAAAAGCTATCCATGAAACAACTTCTCAACTGCCCATCATGTTCTTGGTAGCTTTAAATTGCTCTGATAATTAAATTGCATCACATCTGAGCTACAAATCCAGATTACAGTTGTCTTTCCCAGGTGTACATTAAAGAAATTACTTTTTTCCCTTTTTGTTTATGGATGAATGTGATGCGTCCATATGTTAATTGAAAGTGTGAGGATTAAAATTATGAAATGTTAGCTCAGATTGGCAAAGCTGAAATTGCTTTGTTTCTTGGGTGAGTGAATTCTAGTCATCAGCTTTGTAGTTCAAGCTGCAGAAAGCCTAAGATGCCAGGGAGGAAAACAATGAAAGTCTGAGAGGAAGAGCTAGAGCTTTGCAATTCCGTAGGCTCTGGTTGGCCAAGTACTTGCCAAAGGCTGGCCATGGGGGAGCCTGGAAACAGCCCTCCATTACTGTAGTCTGGTGTTGACCCAACTGCTGTCTATGCTGCTAGTCTCTTGGAAGAAGGGTTGGGCTCTTTGGCTTTATGTAAACCCCTGCCTGCTGTATCCTGTTTTAGCTCTTGTAGTCTAGGTTTTAGGTTCCACATGGGATTCTATGCCAAATGTTACCAAACTATAACTCCTGGTTCTCTGTCTGCTTTGTTCACTTGCTTTTTACTTCTTTCTTTATTATTTATTTATATATTTATAATATTTATTAACTATTTTAAAGTTTTTGTTTGTTTGTTTATTTGATTTCGAGACAAGGTCTCTCTGTGCAGCTCTGGCTGGCCTGGAACTCACAGAGATCCGCCTGCCTCTGTGTCCCAGGTGCTGGGGTTAAAGGGTGCACCACCATGCCCAGCCCAGGTCTGTTTTGTGAGTCCAGTTTTACTGGAATGTGGCAAGGCTGTTAGTTTAGGGCTGGGTGTGGCTTCAGCAGCACACAACAGCAGCTCAGCAGTTGTACAATTGCATGCATCCATCCCTATGTGAACATTGTTTCCAGGCTGGCCTTTCCAGGAAAAACAAAAAACAAACAAATATTTTCCAGCCCCTGGTGTATGCCAGTAAAGCACATCTCAAGTACCTTCTGCTACATGAGCTGTTTCCACTGAACACGTCCCATGCTGTGAATCAGAGGAGACACTGGTGAAACTGGAAAGACACCTTCATATATGGCACTTTTGCACATGGCATAATTGAGTCTTTAGTTGAACCAAGCATAACATAGAAATTAGAAGGCTACACTATATAGTTGTAATGGTTATAATAGGATGTACAGAAGCTACTTACAGCCTGGACGGTGGTGGCGCACACCTTTAATCCCAGCAGAGCCAGGCGGATCTCTGTGAGTTCAATGCCAGCCTGGTTTACAGAGTGAGATCCAGGACAGGCACCAAAACTACACAGTGGAAACCCTGTCTTGGAAAAAAAAAAAAAAAGGCACTTACAAACATGCTAAATGAGCTAGAGTAGTGTGCATAGGCAGAGACTCAGGAGGAGAGGGCAGGGCTGGACAGACAGCAGGTGAGAGCATGCATGGCACAGCTGTGAAGACCAGAGTTTGGATCCAGGTACTCCTGCACTGAGCTGGGCTGCTGTCTGTTCTCCTCGTGACCCCAGCACGGGGAGGCAGAGTCAGGAGGGTTTCCTGGGCCGTGGCACACGTGGGCTGCAAGTTGAGAAAGAAACCACGTTGTCAACAGAGTAAGGCCAGGAGTGCTAGAGGAAGACACATAGGGCCTCTGTCTTCCTTTACATGCACAAATTCCTAGTAATCAAGTTGAAAATTTTGATGTTATAGTTTCTGAATAACTTGAAAACTTTCTAAGATGTTTCTCAAATACTACCTTTTGGGATAGAGTCTAAATGACTGTTCTTAGCCCTGTGTGGCTGCTTTAGGAGTTTGTTTTTGTCTCCACACTCAGGCTGTGACAGTCCTTGCAAGTGTCTTCCCTAGACACGAGCCTACTCAGATTGCACACACTCTAGTCCAACTGGCCATGGTGACCGTCAGAAAGACTGGTATTTGCTGGGCACTCCCATGTGGCATTTTTCTGTTGAGGACATTACATTTTATCCTCACACAATGCTGTGGTACATATACATTGTTATTGTCACCTTCATTTTACAAAGCAGTCCACAGAAGAAGTAACTGTCACCCAGTCTCTCAGAGGTGGCAGGCCTCTCACAGGAGACAGGGTCTAATTAGGACATCAGACTCTCGTTTCTTCGAATAGCAGGTTATTTGGACCAATTCCACTATTGAAAAAGGAATGATAGTTTTCAAAGCTTCAGACTTGGGCTGGAGAGATGGCTCAGTGGTTAAGAGCACTGGCTGCTCTTGCAGAGAACCTGGGTTCAGTTCCCAGCACCCAGATGGTAGCTCACAACTGTCTGTAACTGTCCAGTTCCAGGGGATCCAACACTCTTCTAACCTCCTCTGGCTCCAGGCACGTATGTGGTACTCATATATTCATGCATGTAATATATATATATATATATATATATATATATATATATATATATATATACATATACATATATATATTAAATATTTTATTTATATAATAAATTAAAATTTAAAAAAAATCTTAAAAAAAAAAAAAACACCCAGAAAGCACTAAAAAGCTCAAGAGACAAGGAACTCCAACCCGCCAGGTTTTGAGTGAAATCCCATGACAGAAGAGAGCACGTGATGCTGAAGGCAGTGTCAGGCTCCCCCTCCCCCTCTGTGCAGAAAGCTCCACCTGCTCTCCTCTGGGGAGGGGCACACTCACTCTGAAGCTGCTCCTCCCCTTCCTGGAACCAGAGGGAACCTCAGAGCTGAACCTAGAGCGAAAGGGAGCAGAGTAGGCTGTGGCCAGAGCTGAGCCTGCTGCCCAGCTTTGCCTGGCCAGCCATGAGCGATTGGACATAGGACTTCATGCTGAGGACATGGTCTAGAGTGGCCTCTCCACCTTAGGTTGCAGAAAACGTCCCCAAACTCTAAAAGGATCAGCAACAAAGCTCCAAGGCAGTCAAAGACAGCAGACAGGGCAGCATGAAGAAGACCCAACGGGAGCGGCAGGAAGTGCAGCAGGTGCGCACAGACTGAGGGTCACACATTCTCGCGAGGACAGTGCACGTGTACAGCCCCCAGTCACTCATGGGGGAGATGGCTCTGTGGTTATACGCATCACTGCTCTTGCAGAGGCCCCAGGTTTGGTTTGTATCTCCCACATCAGGTAGCTCAAAACTACCTGTAACTCCAGTTCTAAGACACCTGGCCTCCGTGGGCACCTGCACACATACACACATCCACATTAAATAAAACCACATCTTTCTAAAAGGCCTCACTGGACCTGGTAGCATATTGAACACAGCAGAGGGAGGGTTAGTGAATTGGAAGTGCAGTCTGCAATACTGCTACCTGATCCTACTTGACCATTTTGCTGTGTGGGGATCTGGCCTTACTCACCTAAAAGAAAAACTGGTCACCACAGTACACGTGTGCATAGCATGCTAGCCTGAGTTATGTGCACCTAGTTGGGTAATTTTCTGAGCAACCCGATTGAATGGCAACTCCCTTTTCAGAGGAGATAGAATATGCACCTTGCTGTCTTCATGCCTCTGTCAGTCACACCCAGGAGTGCTGTGTCGTGAACGGTCCTGGAATCCCTTAACTGAGTCTGGATCCTGGCCAAACACCCACCCAGTCACAGGCAGTGGCTGGAGGGAGTAGAATGTGTCAGTTTGAAGACGCTGCCTTGAAAATGCTCTGTAGATTCAGCTTTTGGGGTATATTCAGAAACTGGCCAGGATTTTTGTTTGGCTTGGTTTCATGTGCTCTTCACTTACCCGCACAGAGGTGCCTTAGACAAGAGCTACATCTTCCTTATTATGTAGCTTTCTGCGCTGTTGACAGCCGTCAGGTGAGGAAGTAGCACCAGCCGGCCTTTTGACTGTAGCTCGGCTGTCAGAGATACAGTGCCTGGTGGTAGGTTTTATCTTCTTTCCTATTGTACTTGAGGGGAGAGGACAGGGCATGCCTCTGTGGCTGCACTGTGAGCCCTGCTTTAGATGATGCAGTCTCAGGCTGTCGACCCCAACTCTGCATTCCGGAGGTTCTGAGGCTCCTCTCGTGCCTAAGGCAGTCCCAGAGCCCTGAGTCTACCTTGTGTGTTGTAGAGTGGGTCTCGGAGCCTGCTGCCTGCGTTTGCTTGTCCTCCACCAGTGATCTTGTTCTGCTGAGTGTGGCAATAATTTCCCCATCCAGAGGCGGCCAGAACCTTGTGCTTAAGGACATCTCTATTGCCACCTGATATTTGTGAATGTGTTAACTCTTTATATTTTCCCCTCTTTTAGTTCAGTTTTCTGTTTTATTTCCAGTTCTCGGTTTGTATTTGTTTTGATAGCTCAGTAGGCAAATGAGGCGAATGTATTTAATCCTATCATCCAGCCCATCCAGATATTGCGTGTGAGAGTGCCTCTTCTGTTTGGTTGTTTGTTTGTTTGTTTTTCTCTGTGTTCTAGCGAAATAGAACAGCTTGAGAACTGCCACCAATAGAAAGAAAAATCAAAGAGAGGATGCGGAAAGGGTAGGGAGGGAGATGACATTTGATTATTTCTTAACAAGTCTAGAGGGCTTTAGAATGTGCGTCATCAGGATTTCTTTTTTGTTGTTTAAATTGTGTGTAAGTGTGTGTTTGTAAGTATGTGTGTCTGTGAGAGTGTGTTTGTATGTATGTATGTGTGTGTGTGTGTGTGTGAGAAAGAGTGTCTGTGAGTGTATATGTCTCAGTATATATCTGTGAGAGTGTGAGTGTATGTGCGTCTGTGAGAGTGTCTGTGTGTGTATGTTGGTGAGAGAGAGTGTGTGGGTGAGTGTGTCTTTGCAAGTGTGTGTGTGTGTGTGTGTGTGTGTGTGTGTGTGTGCATGCACCCATGCTACAGCATATGTGGAGGTCAGAGGACACCTTCCGAAAGTAGATTCTCTCCTTCCACCATGTCAGTTCTGGGACCTGAATCATAGGCTTGGAGGCAAGCACTTTTACCTATGGAATCATTTTGTTGGTCCTCGTTCTAAGTTTTTGATGGATATAATAGTTATAAAATATGAGAAGGGTTAAGTTCATGCTTAGAACCACACGTGTGATGAACATCCCTTAACAGTACCCTTGCCTTCATACTGTCATGGGCCAGGAGTGGCCCAGGGTGTGAAAGGCTCCCTGTGGGGAAGTAGACAGGGAGACAGAGAATGGCAGTGCAGCGTGACAATTAAAAGTGAAAGTAATGCACACTAGTCTGTGTGTGTGTGTGTGTGTGTGTATGTGTGTGTGTGTGTGTGTGTGTGTGTAGGCCAGAGGTCAACCTTGGTTGTCTCCACCTGCTTTTTGTTAAAATAGGGTCTCACTGAACTTGGAGCTCACCAATTTGGCCAGACTAGCTGGCATTGTTGATGATAACAATGGCAGTTGTGCTTTTACTCCCACAACTGGGTAGTCAGTCCCACACGAATACCTGCTAGTACCTGTCACACTGACTAGGACTGGACAGTGGGGTGTGGGTTAGGGTCTCAGCCCTGCCATGATTAGCTGCAGACTTGAGCAAATATTGCATATTTGTGGGACCTCAGTTTTTTAATTCAGTTGTTCATCTAATCCTTGTAAGTCATGTATGGGAGGCCAAATCCCGGAAGGACAGACCAGGAGGCATTCACTCAGTACATAAGGATACCTGGTGAACAGAGTGTATGTGCCAGAGCATTCTGGACCAGCCGCCTGCCACACAACCCAAGGGGAGGGCCAGGAGTTCCGTGGGGCACCTCGATTCCTGTCAGAAGAAACTCCACTGCGTGGAGTAAAACAGTGACAGGCAGTGTATCTAGGAAGACGAACTCTGGCTGCTGCTTGCACCAGCCACAGACTCTCCACCCTCCTGTACAGTTGAAACTATTTCCAGGTAAAAAGCTAAAAAAAAAAAACAAAACTTAAGCCGTGGTCTTCAAGACCCTTCTCCCCAAATTCAAGTAAGTCATCTACAACTTTGCACAATTTGTCCATCCATCCCCGGTTAAGATCATTGGATCATAGGGAGGTAGACCTAGGGTCAAGTGCTAACTCGTTAGCTACCTTGGTTTCTGCCACATTAACTAGCTACCTGGGGCCTTCACTTTCTTGATCTGTGAAACATTGACAATAATCGTCTTTATAGGGACTGTGTGCAGGATCCTCTCACTTCTAGAATGCATATATGCATACATGTGAAATTGTTCTGTGTGTAAATGCCATGCAAATGTGGGTGGTTCCCTGTGTTGAACTTACATTCAGTGTGTGCTGCCAGGGGTAACTTTCCGTAGCTCACAAGCTTCCTCCTGTTTTCTTACAGCCAGAGAGGATTTCAGGAGAGCAGTATGGGATCCACTCTGACGTGTGGAGCTTAGGGATCTCTTTCATGGAGGTATGTTGCTGTTTGCTGTTATTGACATGCTTGTACTAGTACATCCCATTGGGAAGAATGGAGGCTTTGAAGGAATACCACAAACTCCCACCCACTATATTGTGTACATTGTCTGACTCTGGAGCCCTTCCATTCATATATTCCATGGGACTCTTTAACCGAGTCTGCATTATTCTAGAGCGCTGCTTCTCACACACCACCTCTGTAAGACATACCTGAAGTGCTTGTTAAGAACACAGGTTTGCCAGCCCCACCCACGACCAGTTCAATCCAAGTCTCTCCTAATGTGCGTGTGGGAACTGTTCCCTGGGTGGGAGCCCTGCTTAGTCTGAAGCCCTGTTCTCTGAAAGGGGATTCCATGACAGCACAGGATGATGACAGCCTTGGAGTGTGCGTGTGTGACATCCAAGGGGGGTGGTTTTAAAAGATCAGCTATAGTCATATGATAGATATGTTGTATATGTGCTATATATCATTTTCTTTCTTAAAAAACCTATCTCCTAATAAACAACATGTGCATGTGGGGTGGAGGTGGGGGGGGGGATGTGCATGTAGTATAATTTAATGTCTTTATGTATTGCTGTATTTAGAATGGATGTGTTCCCTCGGTGAGCCAGGTGCAGCTCCATTAGAACTCCATGCTAAGAAATAGTCATACACTCGTATTAGAAGACAGACACCTGGCTTGCTGGAATCGCACTCTTAGACAACCCGGGCACCCACTGGGGCTCTCAGAACAGCTCTCAATTCCGTCCGTTCCCATCAAGGAAGCCTTTTTTAAAAAACAGAAACATGTTTAAATAATACCACAGATCGAGTTCCCATCACAATCCTATCGCTTTTGTTTGGTCAAATACATTTTCTATATCTTTGTAACGCATGAATGCCATTGTATTTGGAAGGAAATATCTTCAGACCCAGCTCACCTGCACAGCAGGAAGGGTGCCAAGATCAAATGCTCAATGTTTATTAAACCATATTCCTCTGCCTTTTCCCGAAAGGTAATCTAAGAGGAACTGTAATGTGTGCGCAGCAGCCTAGAGGCTGAAGTTAGCGGGTAGATCTCAGGACCCAGCCCTCAGCAGGACCCCAAGGGCTCCTCGTTCTAGTATTAGCTTGTTTCCAGGGGAAACTACCTCTGACATGTGGGACTCAGGCTTTGCTAGGATGGAGCATCCCTTTGGTGGTTTAAACATTCTCATTGGTTGTGTTTTATAAATGGTCAGATACAGGGCAGAATAATTGAGAGGTCACATGCTTCAGAATCCAGTGGTGGAAACAGAAGACCCAGGTTGTAGTACTAGCTTTGGTACTAGTTTCCTAGGTGGTCCTGGGCCAGCCTTCAGTGCCCACCAGGCTCAGTTTCTTCTCTGTGCGAGAGTGAGAGCTGACCCCAGTGCAGACTGGCATTCTACAGCTCCGCTGCTGCTGCTGCTGTCTTCCCTGTAGTTCCAGCAGCAGCAGCAGCAGCAGCAGCAGCAGCAGCAGCACCAGCAGCAGCAGCAGCAGGAGGGCTGTGTGCCCGGGACAGAGGTGCACCCTCACCTGTTGGGAGCGTAGAAACACTAGTGAGAGGGCTGGGAATACAGCTCAGTTGAGAGATAGCTGCATAGCATACACAAAGTTATGGCTTACTTGCCAGCGTGGCATATGACCAGGATGTGATTCTAGTATTCAGGGAAGGATACAGGAGGATCGGAAGTTCAAGACCATCCTCATCAGATGCAGAGTGAGTTGGACGCCAGTCTGGGCTATATGAGACCATCCTATAAAAAAAAAAAAAAGTACTGTTAAAAAAGTGTATCCAAGCCGGGTGGTGCACACCTTTGATCCCAGCACTCGGGAGACAGAGGCAGGCAGGTCTCTATGAGTTCCAGGAAAGCCAGGACTACATAGAGAAACCCTGTCTTGAAAGAAAAAAAAGGAAAAGAAAACATATCCAAGCTAATCTGAAGGAGGTAGTGAATTATATCAATTGGTACTCCTTCTTGATACTCTACTTGACTAGTCTCATAAAGAGAAAACGAGAGCCCCCACCTGACTAGAGTGGAGTTATTGAGGTAAAGGCTAGAAAAAATCAGAGAGGTAGCCGGGGACTGGATCACATACCAGCAGGCTGGGGGCTGCAGCTGTTGCCCTGGGTGAGTGATCTGACTTCAGTTTTTAGCAGGTCACAGGGTGCTCTATGGAGCATAACCGTAGAAGGGCAAGCGTGGAAACAAGGGGATCAGAAAGGCGAGGTAGAAAGGTTGGCCTATGGCCAATAAATGTAACTATTGAAATACGCATCCTCGGTATCTTCCTAGGCTCTGGGATGTGAAGTCTAATAGAAAGAGGGCTGCCTTGTAGGGAGGGAGATTCCAGTGCCTTCGTTTGTCCTGGAGGCAAGCTGCTCAGTAGTCTCTGGAACACTGAAGAAAACAGACTCTTTGCATTTGCAAAATTGAGGAGAACTGGGCATAGGGAACTGTGTGAGAAAAGTCACCTTGAGTGTGGGGTGACTGGGTGCCAGGAATACCAAGGACAGAGCAGAAGAGCCCCATAGTGGAGGAGAGCCGGGGAGAGCGGGGCCAGGGCCAGGGTGCTTAACTAAGGGTCACCCAAAGGAATGTGGGGTGGCTGTCCCTGTCCTCTTACAGCTTCTGGCCCACTAGGCAAACAAGTGACATGTGACCAACTTAGCGTAGTGGAGCAAAAGTCACCAGAGACTAGAGTTCAGCCTCTGGCACATGTTTTATTCCAATGGATCTTGGGTCCAAGGCAAAGAAGTACATGATAAAGGGAGAAGATTTTGACTATAGCCGAAATGTTGGGGTGTTTCAGGACTCCTTCGTTCTTAGGGTCAATGTGAGGAGAACGCCATCCAAAGGGCCTGAGACCTTAGGTCAAAATAAAAACTCGAAGGCCGAGGCTTCTCTTTCTTTTTACCAGAATATACTTGGTCTAAATGTGATAAGTACTATTCAAAACCACTACAGACAAATACCTGTAATCCCAATGTTCAAAACTGAGGCAGGAGGATCATGAGTTCAAGGCTTGCCTGAGCTACATTAAAAAAAATATCAGGGCAGGGGAGATAGTTCAGTCAGTAAAGCACTTTCCACACAGGCACAAGGACCTGCGTTCAGTCCCCAACAGCCACACAGAAATGGGGACTGGTGGAGCATGCTGGTAATCCCAGTGCTGAGGAGGCAGAAACAAGTAACCCAGAGTCACTGGCCGGCCAGCCTCACCTAATCATGGAGCTCAAGCTCCGAATGGAAAATCCCGTATTCAAAACCCCTTAAACTTTAAGACTCTAAGGGTGTTACCCAAGATTGACTTCTTCCTTCACACACACATGCTCATGCACACATACAGCTTCACACACACACACACACACACACACACACACACACACACACACACTAGACAGAAGTGTGTGCTAAAATGGCATTTGAAAATCTGAGGAACAAATTGTATGAAGAAGCAGAGTCAGCACTTTCAGAGAGCTCTACCTCTGGTCTCACTTTTAAAACAACTCTCAGTGTGTCCTCCCAAGAATAGAAGCCTTCGTTCATTCATCAGTTTTCAGCTGTATAAACGCCATGGGCAGGTTCTGCGGATCACTGGCCACGTAACTAGGAGGACCCTGCCTTGATAGAGAAGAAAGATGCTAGAGCCTCCAAGTGACGGGCCTCCAGCAAAGGTGTGGGCGAGGGCCTCGTGGGAGCAGGGAGTTGACACAGGGTTGACATCTGAGTGGAACTGGTCCTGAGGGGAGCCTGCCACCAGGAGAAGAAGGCACTAAATGGTGACCCCCCCCCCCCCATCCAGCCCACTCTGCAGTGGACTACTCTAAACCATTGGCAGTGTAGGAAGGTGAGACTGTCTCACAACAGTCTCCAGGCATGTGGGTACACCTTTCTCAGGGTGTGTTGAGGATCCCATAGAGGACCTGTGGTGAAAAAGATGGGCAGCAAAATGGGAAACCAAGCAAGGGCATTTCCCAGAATCACCTGGGAATCAAATAGAAAATAGAAAGTTTCCTGTGTCTTCCAAGGTCCCCAGGGCCATGCCTCCTGTTCTGTAAACCTTCTTCTCCAAGGTTCATCCTTGGCAGCTCCTTCCCTGATAATGTGCTGCCATGGTCCCCACAGGTCCTCTCGATACACACTTTCATAAAAGATAATGCTACACGCCACTAAAGCATGTGGATCAAAAGAATCACGGACAGCTCCATTTGTGCCTTAAGCAAAGACCCTCTAATATCAGACTATCTTTCATCTGTCCCCCCTCTTTTCTCAGGGCAGCAGCCCTCTGCTGCTGGGATAAAGTGGGTCTCCTCCATATGTTGTCACCTGTGTGAAGTGTTTGGAGTTGGCAAAGTAGCACAAAGATTGAGATAAGACTTTCAGCCTGGGCTCAGGACAGTGGCTTCTTGGGTGGGGGTGGGGGTGGGCCCTTCTCTGCCGTGTGCTGATGGTTTTTCACACAAATCTTTCAAGTGTTTGTGGCTCCCCTCCTGTGGATTGGTTATGAAGCCAAATAAAGGAGGTCTCAGTGTGTGGGTTTGTGTGGGCTCGCTTCATAGGGGAAGAAAACCCATGTGGACTTGAGTTCTTCCGTTAGAACACACCAAGAGTTGGTGTGAAAATGCAGAGAGAAAAGGAGTGGACAATGATGTGAGACCTGCAAGACTGAAGGACCAAGCTGTGAGGAGCTGGAAAGTTCCTCCCGCCCTGGAAGACTTGTTTGCACTTTTAGGGGATTTTAGACATGTTCACTCGGTGCTGCTCTCAGTACTTCAGGCTGAACTTGAGGATGGGAATGGCTTGGCATGGCAAAACAAGGGCTTTGTTTTCACCTAGTCTGAAGGGGTTTGCCTAATCTTTAGAGAGGGGATTCCGAAAACACACTAGGCAGCTTCGTAATTTCACAAGCAATGCAGTACGTACCTAGTCTCACAGAGAGTGGCTGAGGAAAGTCTACTCCCTTGATTTTTCACTAATTGATTATTG